CTTTACCCCACTGTCAGAAGACCATCTGCTGTTTGAGACACGTCTCCTAGATATTATCATTATAATCATTTTTCTATTTCCACTTAGCAGCATGCTTCCTTTAATACTGTCTTCTGCGTGTAAACCACTGTTTTTGTAGATCTCCTCGGGCCGTCCTGCTATTTGCCTGCCTTTTTTTCCTTTCAGGGTGGGAGATTTTCTCTTCCTGAGGGTGATACATTTCTACATTAGTGCCTATTCATTTCCTTTTCATTTTCTCAGAGAAAAACAGTCAGAGCTCATCATTGCTGTAGTCATGGAGATTTCACATCTCCAGTAGAAATCCAGTTGTGGGAGTTCTGTGTTAATCCCATACTCTGTACTGGACAGTTAAGCTTCTTAAATGGACATTTAAGCTTCCTTACCCGGGGCTGGTCAGAGCAACCCCGGGTAAGGATGCCACGGAGGCTGATTACAGTGTGATTCGTGCACAGGTGGGTAGAGGAAGTATGTGCAGAGAGGGGCTGTCCTGGGGGGCCGGAGCTGTGCATACAGTTGGTGCTCAGGCAGTAGTTGGGGACTGGGCAGACGGAGGAAACAGAGCTCTAACCATCAGCTGCATTCTTGGCTGCTCATAGTACCATGAACTCGACATGGCCATGACTATGAGAGCCCCACCATCTGTGAGCTGACCACGTCCTGATTGTGCCCTTCCTTTGTACAGTCTTGACTTCCACTTATTGATGCCCATGTTTCATTCTTCCCCTCTGGCCCCCGGTCCTTCTCTCTGGCTCACAGTGGCAGCCTCCTAGTAACCCTCCCTCTCCTCTGGCCAGTTTCCTGAGCACCCCTTTGCTGCATAGTGAGAGCAGAGTAGGTCTTAAGCAAACCTTTGACGAACAACTGAGAGACCAAAGAGTCTTCCTAATATGCAAACCCGACTGTGTTACTTCTTTGTCTCAAATCCTTCAGTGGCTCCCACTGCTTTTAGGATAAAGTCCAAACTCTTAGGTCATTTAAGGTTTTTTGAGACCTCTCCAGCACCATCTCCAGTCACCCCCATTTGGATGGTGTGAGCCAGCCACCCTGGGTCGGTGATGGGCCATGTGTGTCAAGTGTAGAGGTTGAGATTTACCTCCGGGTCTGCAGTCGGATTGAAATGTGGTCACACCTAGATCCCTCACAGAACTCTACAACCTGCAGAGCTCTCTGTGCCTCAGTTCCCTCTTTTGTAAAATGGGTCTGATGCTATCACCTCATGAAGACTCAATATGTGAATACGTGTCAGGCAGTGAAATCAGCGCCTGGTACACATGATCACTCCATAGTTAGTATCCTGAGATCATTGCAAGTGTGATTAGCTTATACACCTATTCCACTTCATTCTGTCTGGAACCTCCCTCGCTACCTGGTTTTCAATGTCCCAATATTGCAGCCTCTCTGAAAGCAGCTTCTCTAGCTATGTAGTGATATGGTGTTAAAAATGTAAATTTGAGGCAGCGCCCGTAGCACAGTGGTTACTGCACTGGCCACATACACCGGAGCTGGCAGGTTCGAACCCAGCCCAGGCCTGCCAAACAACAATGACAACTGCAACAAAAAAATAGGTGGGTGTTGTGGCAGGTGCCTGTGGTCCCAGCTACTTGAGAGTCTGAGGCCAGAGAATCACTTAAGCCCAAGAGTTTGCAGTTGCTGTGAGCTGTGACACCACAGCACTCTACTTACAGTGACAGCTTGAGACTCTGTCTCAAAAAAAAAAAAATGTAAGGTAGAGTCAGAAATGTGTGGTTTTACATCCTGGTTCTATTGTTTTTCTCTGGCCTAACCTTACTAAACTTTGGTTTCCTCATCTATAAAATTAATATAATAAAACAATAGCACTTACCTCATTAGTGTTGTCAGAAAATGATATAAAGTATGTAAAAATATACCTAGCATGTACTGAGCACTGCATATGTTATTTTTGATAGCAGCCACCCATTCTTATCTTTTATCAAGAACAAAGTGTTGTATTATTATAATCTTTTTACTTGTTTCTCTTGGGGTCTAGATGGCAGGTTAAGTTGAAGGGCAGAGTCTTTTTCAGCATTATTTCATAGCATTTTGATGCTTCATTCAGTCAGTGGGACAGGCAGGAATTCAGTGGCTCCACCAATATGTGTGACCCCCTCCATACACGACAGTAAGAAATTTTAGAGAGAGGATTGTGATGGTAAGACAAGGAGAGGTTGGGAAGGAAGAATGTTTCAGTGGCAGGGGCTGGGGGACCGTTTTCCTTTTGTGTACCGAAGACCAGAGGTTAGTTGGTGCTGAACCATTTTATTTGGCACAAAGGCAGTCGAGGATGGGAGAGGAAGCTTGACCCAGAAGCACTGGAACTCAGCTCTGCAGACCCTACACACATTTTATCAGTGGGATTTACTACTCCATACTGACTCTTAAATAGAATTGTGCTGGTAAATATCGAACAACCCAAAGCCCTGATTTATAGTGTGTGCTGATGACTGTGGTGTAAATACTCCCACCATGGCCACTTTCGAGTCACCACTGTGCTGTTAACCCACAAAATTCCTAAAATTGTACCAGTCATCCAGCAGTGAGCGGCCATGGCACAACACTGCCTAAACTCCTAACTCTCGTTTTTCCATCTGTAAAATGTGAAGCCTATACTGTTGAGCATCCTGTCCCCAAGTCTGAATGTCAGAGGGAGGGTGGGCCGAATGCAACAGCACCGTGGAAATGTTCGTGTTTTAACAATGCCTTCTGTGCTCGATCTTATATCGAAACTCTCTCCCCATCCACACGGGCTGTGTCTGACATAGGGCCAATGATCTTCTGTTGAAAATCAGCCTGTCCAGAGCTCTGCTCAGAGCAGTATATTTCATTTTATCCTCCCAATCGGGGCTGTGTTTTCTGCAGCAGACTGACTCAATTAGCTTTTCATTCCAGAGTCCAATTGTGAGTCAATTCTGAGGTTGTTAAGCAAAATGAGTCTGGTGGCATTAGCCCCGTGCTGAAGGACAGTAATCCTCGTCGCAGTGTTGTTCAGTTAATAGTCTACTGGAGAGAGTAGGAGAAACAGTAGACCCGGAGACAGAGTGACCTCCCTTCCATCTCTGGGGGACAGGCCGGGAGCGGGGGGCTGCCAGGTCAGAGAGCTGTTCAGCGGCCAGGTTGCATGCTGCACCGAAGCCCCAGCTGCCTGGACTGTAGTTGGCCTTTGCAAAGTTAGAAACCCAGTGATGCTAGATCATTAACTTTCATGACCAGGAAAATTCTTTTGAAATTAACGCTCAGTCCAAGCTGGATGCCATTGGAGCCAGTTGAGTAAGCCCGAGCCACATTTAGGGATTTCTTCTGAAAAATAAATCCTTTAACCAGGCTACAGAAAATAGACAGGTTTTATATCGTTCAGTGCGTTCAATTAAAGTCAGGAGAAGCCAGCGAGGCACGGACCACGCTTGAGATCCAGGCGCACGCACGACCGGGCGCGCACCAGCCTCATTTGGTGGATTTTGCCAGGGCACTTAGCTCCAGCACATGGCTGTGCTCGGGAAGCCTTATAAAGGGCCTCTCTGAGGAGTGTCAGGTGCTGTGCAAAGAAAATGAAGCAGACCTCCAGCATCTGCCCCCAGGATTCGCTGTGATGGAGCCAGGCATGCCGAACATGTGGGGCGCACCAGATGGGCATGGACAGGGGGCGTGGACAAGCCTGTTTACAAGGGTTCAAGGAGAGAACCAACCCCACACGAGCCCCGTGCAGTCTTGGCAGAAGGGGCAGAGTCTTGTGGACTTAGTAATTTCATCATGCCTTCGAATGCCCCTTCTCGTTAAAACTGTAGGTGAGGGGCCCACAACGTGCTTCCCACTGGGCATCTATGAACCTTTGTGATCCATGGGCATCTTACTCGGCTTGGTCTGCCCATCCTGGCTTGTTTATATTGTAAAGTATGCTAAGTAAATACAGTTTCTTGGATGGAAAGACATAAAAACAGCTCTGAGTTTGTCAGCAGCCAACTCCGGGGAGAGCTAAAGACAAAAGAAACCCAAGAAGCCCTCCCATTGTCTCCCATAATTGCCAGATAATTTAAATTCTTGGGAAGTCCCTTGTGTTCTTCCATAGAAACTGAACAGTTGTCTGCTGAGATGACCTCAGAGGTGGCCCAGCTTTCATTCAGTATTTCTCCAACAATATCCTCTCAGACTAAAAAACAGCCAGTTGGGGACAAAAAGTCCTCTTTCTCCCCCCAAATGATGTGTCTGTAGCTTCTCTCCATTTGTGGGTCTCTGCAGCTTCATTACCATCCGAGGAAGGGAAGGGGGGCTGTGAGGGGCCCTGGAGAGTTCCCAAAGAGCGGACAGATCAGTGGACCCTCCAGGTGCAGCCTTTGACCACGGGCACTCCGTGCCTGGAGTGAGTCTCACCTGTCCTCATCCCTCTTGCCTGTCCCCATCCCTCTTGCCTGTCCCTTCCAAACGGCCTTAGTGTCACTGGGCTGGAAGAAATTGCTGCCCCCAGGCTGGTGGATGAGAGATGACTTACAAGACAGATACATACATTCTTAAAGCCACAAGGAATTGTGGGAGCAGATGGGCTGTAGGATCCTATTTTGATGCCAGGGATATGTTTCTGTATAAAGTAAATATTTTCCCAGTGTGGATCTCCGGTGAGGGTGTGGAGAGGCATATTTCCTAAAGATGCAAATAAGCCTAGTCAGAAATAAATATTGAATGGAAACTTCAAAGCCTCTAGATTTCTCCAGTTAGAGGCCCTGAAGACTTCTCCTTAAATAAGCAGACATATGCAGGTGGGTAAGAGCCAGGGGAGGGGACAGTTTGGGTTTATTGGAAAAGATGCCAACATTTGAGTAGTTCATGTTTACACATATAGAGAGAGAGACAGTGAGACAGAGATAGAGAGTGAAGGGGCATAGCAGCAAAGGAATAAAGAAAAGTTAGGTTTGTCCAGAGGCTTAGGCTGTTTTAAAGCACACCTTCTTCCCCCTTTCTTCCTGTTGTAGATCTCGCCTTGCAGATTTTTTTACCAACTGCCAACCAGAGTCAAGGTCCGTCAGCAGCTGTCTAAAGGAAAACTACGCCGACTGCCTGCTTGCCTACTCGGGGCTTATTGGTAAGATCCCGAAGAAGTGGGATGGAAGAGCAGCCTGGTTTACAGACACTCACGCGCTTTCCACCCTGGCCTGCTGATGTCTGCAGAAGTGAAAATCTCCCAGTAACCCTCTGTGCTGGGGTTTTGATGTTAGGTCCTTTAGGACTTGCCTGTAAGAAAGAAAGAAAAAAAAAAAGAGGATAATGGATGCGGGAGAGGCAGAGGCAGGAAGCGGGGATTATTAAGGAGCAGAGAAGCTGCGAGAGCTGAGACGGGTGAGGCGTCTCAGTTGGGGAACTGACCGTGCAGAACAGAAGGAGGGGGAAAGCCTGGTTATGGAAGAAGAGAGCAAGTCAAACAAAGTTAATTGAATTAGGGAACTTCAGAGAAAGGGAAGTCATTCGGTCTGGGGAAATCAAAAAGGCTGTTTCCCAGAAATGGCCCTTTGGAAATAAAACCCCTAAATACGGGAGTTCTGCTTGACATTAATGTTCTTGGTAATTCAGCTCCCGGTGTGCAGGGGGTGATTTAGGCTACATTTTTTTCCTGAAAACAGACATAACAGAAATAGTATTTTCAAGACCTGAGGCTTTGTAAGAACCATGTTCTCAGCATTCAGAGCAGTATAGTTAAACAAGGCACCCGCATGTTGGCAGGCAGCCAGGAGTGAGGCAAACCTGTGCCCCTGGATAAACGGGGCCGGCAGGAGGACAGGCAGGTGTCCCAGGGGCCAGGCCCAGCAGAAGCTTGGTGGCAGGGCTCACTGCAGCGGGCGTGTGAGAGGGAGCGTGCAGGAAAGCCTGTGGCGGGGTGAGGGAAGTCATAGTTGTCGCAGTTGTCAGAAGCACAATGGCTCAGGTAGGGTGTGCATTCCTGCCAGGTGTCTCTGTCAGGGTCACACGCGTCAACAGGAAGACCCTCCCCAAAGAATGACAGCACAGTCTAAATTCCTTCTCACCTGAGCGTCTTCAGCAGGAGGCTTTGGGAAAATCACTGATGATACTTATTAATACAGGGCTGTTGCAGGTACCGGACACACCCTTTACATCCAACTTTTTTATAAAAAAAAAAAAGCAGATAAAAAGAGTACTTGTGTTCCTTTGGGCAATAGTTTTCCCAGTAATTTTCCATTTTTGTTGTTCTGGCTAATAAGCATACTGTCCTTAAGTCAACACTCCACATTTGCATTCACTAACTTCTTAAATATGTTAACCTCTGCTAGGGATTACTTATCCACTATGGGATTAAAGACACAACAAAAGTAATTAAGGCATATTCATTGTTAAAAAAAAAACCTCACTTAATGTGCACAATGTGAGGGTGTTCATCACTCCCCTGGTGAAGGGCTCAACTACAACTTGAACTTTACCTTAAAATGAAAACAATATAACCTAAACATTTGTGCCCTCATGTTAATCTGAAATTTAAAAATTCAAAATTTGTTTAAAGAAGTAAAAACAGAGAAGCCCATAGAAGAAAATGTTAAGTGTGTCCACCTTGACTCTCAGACGTAATCCTCGTCAGCACTTTGGTCTGTGACCTTCTCTGGGTGTACATGCTCCTTCACCCCTCAGGGAGTGGCCAAGGCCGGGTATTGCCAGCATTTCTATGAGGTCATTCTTAGACTTGGCAAACCCTTACATGCCTGAGGAAGATGAATGGAGGGAACAACTTACAGAGGCCTTGCATTCTGCAGACCAAAATATCTTTCTCTCTTGGGTCTGGATCTCTCCCTCTGCACTGGTTTCTGGGTCTTTGGATCTAAACTTCTTTCGGGACAAAGCTTAGTCCTGCTTCTTCCACATGTTAAGGGTCACCATGCTATCAGGTGTGCAATGTCCTTAACATCCTCACTCAGTGTTAGGGGTGCCTGGTCCTTTCTCAGCCAAAGTGTGGAGGTCCTTTTATACTGTAGCTAAAATTCTTATTCCAAGGTACAGTGGGATGCTACTTAGCTCAAGTCATCAAGGAATGTAGGGCAAAGACAATGTGCCCTTGATTCAGAGAAGCTTAGAGAAGAAAATGTTTGTTAACCAAATACATCCCTATGGATTACTAACCACCTATTACTTCTTACTCCCACAAAATATGTAAAAACTGAAGGCATCAGTGCACTTTGCCTGGTGTAAGCCACCCAGCAGAGGACATTTGTGTTCTATTAAGTATAAATACATTGCCTGTTGGTACCAGTGTAGGCAGGGAGGACCACCCGGCATCTCTTTGACTATTGAGGGTTCACGGACAATATTCTAGGAGCCATTGGCTTAGAGAATTTCTGCTGTGTGTTTCCAATTCCTTCACAACTTGAAGATTTCATTTAAATCAGTTCAGAGTCTGGAGAGTAGGAGCCTTGTTATCTGCATTCAGGATGTGGGGTGACCCATAGGAAACTTCTAAGCTTCCCTGTGTTACTCCGAACAAGTCATTTGCTCCTGCGAGAAGTGATACAAAGTCCTAAAAGGATTTTTAAGATGTGTAAACCCAGTTCTATCTATTTATGAAGATTAATGGCATTTTCGAGAAAATGCAAGGGATTTGGCAACTCATGCATTCTGAGTTAATTTCTCTCCGACTCCATGACATCCATACCATTTGTGCAGAAGAAAAAAATACCTTAAGTTCAGCTCAAGGAGCTCTGTTATAATTTTTTAAAGCAAATGTGTAAATTATTTTACGTGCTCAAGATAAATTGCCGAGAAAATGTACTGCTTAACATAATTTCCCACTCAGCGAACACAATGTTTGTAATTATCCACAGTGCATCCGCTGTCGGAGGAACATTTGTTTCCTTTTAGGTTATAGAAAAGTATCATCACAGGAGAATAAAATGCTTTGCTTTTCTTTTTTTAGGCACAGTCATGACCCCTAACTACGTAGACGCTAGTAGTCTCAGCGTGGCCCCGTGGTGCGACTGCAACAACAGTGGGAACGATCTGGAAGAGTGCTTGAAATTCCTGCATTTCTTCAAGGACAACACGTGTCTTAGTGAGTTTAAAAAAAAATAAGAAACAAACAATTGAACACGCTTTGTTCTCTGAGCTCAAACCGGACCTTCTTGTCCCTTGTGTCTGCTTCCTTTTGTCTCCCACTCTCTCTGTTTTCCTCCTGGCCCTGGATGGTAAATCCAGCTCCTTTTGGTCACACTGTGAAATGCGGCGAGGAACCCAGCAAGTGATGAACTGGGTGCTGCCAAGACTGAGTCCAAAGGCCCGAGAGAGCAAGAGATTCAAATAACTGAGGGCACATTATGTGGGAAAGAACACTTCTACCCGCAGATCAAATTTTGATCTTGGCAGCCGGCGGAGAGTCTGTTCCAAAGGTTCTTGAAACCTGGGCAGAATATACAATGTGAGAAGCTCAGACAAATTAGATGGGGATAGGCCTCCAAGGACTCTCAGAGAAAAATTAGAATGTTAACATCAATAACCCCTTGGATGCTCAGGGTTGGCTCAGAGGAGAAGCAACAATTCTTGTGTGGGATAAACTGGCGATGCAAGCAGGAGGCTCGGGATGTCGGTTATCTCGGGAGACCAGATAAGCATGGGGTGGGGGGGTTGGGGGAGGTGGAGGGACTTCGATTGGAAACAGAATTGGTTATTATTGCAGTGTCCTTTTGGCAGTTTGGAAACATGTTTCCCAAAGGCACAGGGATAGAGAGAAATGCACGGGTATGAACAATGGGCATTCATCAAACCCCAGAAGCACAGTGGTACATTTCCCTGACATCCACTGAGATGTGCATGGTGTAGGTGACGATCCAGCTAAGAGACCTTAAAATTTCATGCATTTTTATGACAGCTGCCATTTTTGGTCTTTTATGTATGTCCAGACTCTATAGGGCATGTAATATGGACTTTATTTCATTCCCTGTAATCTGTACAAGAATCCTAAGAGACAGAGGCATTATTAGTGCCACCATACAGGTCAGTAAAGGCTGGTATTTACATAGACTATCTGTGCCAGGACTTAAGGTCCACATCCTGGGTTCCCTTTGGGGCTGCCTGTCTCCTGAGGGCTTTGTTTATGCCCGACATTGACAAGGGCAAAGGCCTGAACCCTACGTCTGACTTCTTGTTGGGACCACGTTCCTAGGAATCAAGGTGCAGTCCCGCTCTGAGAGCCCTGTCCTCAAGTGGCAGTTTCTCCATGATGCTTGGCTAGATTTAAAGAATTACCAATTTACTATTAATTGTTAATTAATACAGATTAATACAAATAGAATACTATTGTACATACAAAAAGAAGTTCTTGAGTTCTACTTTAAAATTTCCTCATTATTTTCTTTGTTCAAAAGAAAAATCTAGATTATTTGCTTCCCAGGTACTTCAAATAATGTGACTGGAGATAACTGGTTTGGTCTTCTTAAAAATAAAACAAGGTTTTGGATTCTTAAAATTAATTCTTAAATTTAATTCCACAATCCTGCTATCAAGGATGGAGGCATTTACTGAAACACTCGGCATACCATCTTGGAATTGCAACTTGGGCCTCTTATGTGGACTTGACTTAAAAACAATTTGTGTGTGTGTGTGTGTGTGCGTGTGTGTGTACACACACATGTTCCGTCTTTTTCACATTCTGTACTCTCCGGCAGAATGCGAGTTTTAACAATGATAAAGCCGTGACAGTGGAGGTCAGCGTAAGAAAAGATTCACACTGCCTGGAAAACTTCTCCCTCGCAGAGAAATTAAAGTTGGCCCTACTTAATAACATTTTGGGTGAAGGGGAAAATAGTCTGGTATCTTATTCCTAATGACTTTTCAATAAAAATAAATGCATTTGGTCTGCACCAGGGGCCAAAGGCAGTTAGAATTTTTCACAGTCATTCCATTTCCACCCTAGATAGAACATAGGGTACCAGAAACACAGGGCTATAAATTTAATTCTCTTGCAAGGAGGAGGACATAGAATTTGTAGATTCCGGCTCCGATGTCAAAACCTAATTCTTCCTCTCTTGGATTAAGCTAGACCTCTCTCAATTCCCATATTATGAACACAGCTCTAACCAGTTGTTACTTCCGGTTTGCATGGGAGGGCACAGTTATTTTTACGCCAAGTTCAGGCAGATGTAGGGGCAAGAGGGAAGAAAGGGATGGAGGTGAGGGGAGATACCAGCTGCCTTAACTCAAGTCCTTACCATCTTCACTGGGAGGCCTCCCTGGACCGCTTTACCTAAGTCCCAGCCGCTCCTCCCACCCCAGGGCTTTGTGTGCTCCCTGGCCCTGTCCTTCTGTTTAGTTTTGACCAAGCATTCCTCACTACCTAATTAAACAGGTACAAGGTTAGACAATTAAGTTGTGAGCAAACTCATCCTAGAAAAAGCACTCCATACCTCATTGCTGAAAATCACTACAGTCTCCTCTAAAGCACAGCCCTGGGCCATCTGGTGACCGTAGTGATATTCAGCAGTGAGGTACCTAGTGCTTCTTCTAGGGTAAGTTCACAAACTTAATTGTCTGACCTTGCATATTTTCCGTGCCAGCCTTGTGGCCATCCTTGTCCAGTACTATGTGCCCAGCTGGTGCGCAGAGTAGTGCTCAGCCCTAGGCAGATATTCTATTAACACTTGAATGAATGAATGGGTGGTGAGCAACGGAACTCTCGACATGGCAAGGCAGACCCAGTGGGGACAGCACAGGCAGTTGCAGGAAGTGGCAAGGGTCTCCTGAATCTGTATCGACACAAAAGGAAGGATTGTTGTTATGGCCTGGGGTCACTTAAGGGAACTAGTCCCCATGCACCTCTTCCCCTGCTTTCCACCCACCAGTTAAGCTACGGAACACGGCTGGGAGCATAAAAAGCACTTAGATTAATTTGAAGCTGTTTCTTACAGCCCCCCAAAATGTGAAGTGGTAGAAAACAAGGTTCCAATTTGCTGAACTTAAAGGATAACAATTTTAGAACAAAATGTCACTTCTAAGACGAAGATTAGGCTTAAATTATTCTGTTTTGTATATCCGAAAATGCCAACTAAGAGTCGTATATTAGCAATTTGCACATTCAGGTCCCAAATGGAGGAGTTTGATTTTTTTTTATATATACAATGAATATGAAATAAAAAATTCCTAAATCCAGGCCAAATCCCTGAAGACCTGATTAAAAACTGTTTTTTATTCATCGTGGGGTAGGGAACAACACACAACCAATTTACTCTTGCCACAAAAACAATCTAATCCCATGAAACCATAATAAGCTTTTAAAGTTTTACATTTTAAACTTTTCATTTAAGCAGGGCTGCTCCTACCTATTTGTGGGGATTTTGTTTGTAAGACTGGGAGCAGAAAGGGCAAAAAAATAGTCTTACTTAAATATTCACTAGATATTGATGACATTTGGGGCAGGTTTTTTTTTTTTTTTTTAAGAAACTGGTTGCATTTTGCCTGACAAGCTAGTGTGAAGGCTAGTGAGTTACCTTAGTCTCCTGATTGGGGATGTAGTTCTTTAAAAGAGCGCTAATTGCTTTGCTTTTGATATTGAAAATATTGACGGAGTACAGAGATTTTCATGGTAAATAGGACAGTCGTGATGTCAAGTAACATGTCTGAGGTTGGGTTTCAAAGGCCTTGACTGATGAGTTTCTTAGGTAAGGCTCTCGCTTGGTCCTCTGGCACATAAATAGGAACACGATAAATATTTGTTGCTTTTGGAGCATAGCTAAGTGTCCAGCTAGTGTTTAATGACTGAATTAATTTTTGAGCACCTGACCCCAGCCACTGGCTCTCAGCATGTGCAGGGTGAAGGGATGGATGGATTTTGTTCAGAGCAGTCCAATGCTGTAATCAGAATTTCTAGTGTGCCTCTCTGGCTGTGTATATCCTGTCTGTTACATTTGCTGCTTGACTTTGAAATTGGATTTCCTCCTGTTTTACTGCAGAAAATGCAATTCAAGCCTTTGGCAATGGCTCCGATGTGACCGTGTGGCAGCCAGCCCTCCCAGCACAGACCACCACTGCCACCACCACCACAGCCTTCCGGGGCAAGAACCAGCCTCTGGGGCCAGCAGGGTCTGAGAATGAAATCCCCACTCATGTTTTACCACCGTGTGCAAATTTACAGGTGAGAACTGGGTCCCCAAGCCCCTGTTGGAGCTCACTCCTGGGAGAACACAGATTTATTTTTCTGAAATGTAGAGAGAGAGGGAGCGAGTGCTGCTCAGGTTTGCATCTTAGAACTGCATCTTCAACATGAGTGAAGACTGGTGTGTCCTATCGGGAAGAGAAAGACTGTGGCACGGACGCTGCCGTTTACTAGCCGTGTGTGCTTGTGTCTGGTCCTTTGTAAAATGAGGGCTCAGAGATGGATGCCTAAAGTTTTTGTGTGTAGGGGTGCTAGAGCTGGGTCGGCTATTTATTTATTTATTATGCTTGTGTCTGTGTTCTCTACAAAGTGGCAGGCTGTTGAAAAGAAAAGAGGTCTTTCGTTTGTCATATAACATGGAGCCTTTAACTGTCTCTGATGGTAAACTGGACACAGTGTTGCCAGCGCCCGGTTAACTCACATATAATGAGTCCTGGAAGAGATTGTTCTTCAGGAGGCAAACTCCAGCGCTCTTTGGCAGTAGGGGAAGCGGCGAGGAGCCAGGAGCTGCCCCGCAAAGCCCAGCATGTGATTGGAGTCCCAAGAGAAGTGTCACGAAAATTCTTTGGGGTTATTTCAGATCTGTGGGGGCAGAACCACAGCAAGATAGAAACGGTGATTTCTTGCCTTTAGTCCAAACCAGAGTGTTTGCCCTGCCTTTTTATTGAGTTTTCATTGTAATGAATATTCAGCTATTTGGCAAGACATCACTTCCTTGTATGTTCACAAAGTATCCTCACATACTTTACCTCTTTGGCTGTCAGCCTCCTGGCGGCTGCAGGAAAGATGCCGTCACTGTAGAACTGTAGCCTTCTGCTTTGATTTGTAGGCCCAGGTGCTCAGAGAGGTAACCCTTCTACTGAAGTCTGCAGAGCTAGTGGGTCAGAACCAGCACCGAGAATCTGGGAGCCCCATTCTTTCCTGATTTCTCCGGTATTTTTCTTGGGTAGTGGTGACCACACAGTGGCTTCTGCCTCCTGCCGTGCTGAGTCCCACCCTCACCCAGAGTCCTTCTCCCTGGGATCCTCATGAGACGCTTTCTGTCACCCAGTACCACCTTGACCCACAGCCTACTATGTTCCCTAGAGAGTGCTGGGGTGGCTTTTCCACTTAATGATTTGCTTGACACCTCCACACCCCCAGCGTCTGCCCTCTTTTTCTTGGATGTCCTCCATGCCATCATCTGAACTTGGGTCTCTGTCCTCCCAGGTCTCCCCCCAACATACTCTTAGAGACTCTCACATACACAGAGCATTAAGGAGAGGGCCCAAGGCCGACCAGGTGTCTACATACTTGGAAAGCTTTCCCTGAGCACTTACCCTCTCCAAAGCATTGAGCAGAGAGCCCCAGAACCCAGAGGAGCCTTGTGGAATACTACAGCATGGAACTGCTCTATCTTACAGCAGGACCCCGAGTTTCAGAGAGGGGAAGTGACTTGTTCAAACTCCCCAAGGTCTGGGAGGCTGATCTAGAGCTAGGCAGGGACCAGAGTCTCGTCTGCATCTCTTGCTTGTGGTCAGTGCTCTGTGTGCCCCCTGGTCAGTCTCCCCTGGGCCCATTCAGAGAAGACTAGTGCCCAGATGAGGGGGGTCCTTTGTCCTCAGATGACAATGGCCGGCCTGGGGCCTGTGGTGGTTTCTAAAAGGAAAGGCAAGCCCTGTTGCCTCAAAAGCAGCTTCTCTGTGCCCGCATCCTGGTGCCCAGGGGAGGACTGCTGCCTCGGCCTGTTGAATAAGTCCCTCCTGTGTGGGGGAAATTTTGTGGAGATGGGCATTCAAAAATAAAAACAAAAGTTCTCTCCCTGTGAAGTGAACTTACAGTAGTGGACAAGATGAGCTTTGCACATTTTCAGAAGATCAAACTAAGTTAATAGGTGACATCTCAGAATCGTTATTATTGGAAACTTCTCTGTGGAATCAGTGTTTCCCCCATGAGCAGGACAGGAGCCCAGCAGCCATGGGAGGGGCTCCCTGCCTCCCCCCAGATCTTATCTTTGACCTGGGCTCCCCATGGTACCCTCCTGGCTTGGCCACCCAGACAACTAAGGCTTTGCCTCCAGCACGAATCAGCCAGATCATTCCGCCCTGCCAGGGGGGTCTGACTGCCTCAGAGTTGCCCTGGCAACGGCAGGAAACACAGGGGCTCTATTCCTCTGTGAATAGAAACTGTGCCTTTCCTTTCCCTGTGTCAGTGATAGGGACTCTGCTTCCTAAACAGAGGGGCAAAAGTAAAATTACAGTGTGATCTCAGGGGTGCCATTTCACTTCTCAGTAGAGGGGATGCGATGTGTGGAGAGGAACGGGGCAGCCACACCTCTCTTGCCTGTGATACTCATAGCAGGCTTGTACCTCGAAGCTAAACAGCATTCACCACCCAGGGAGCCCTTGAGGGATCCACAGAACCTTCCCTTGACTCCTAAGAGGACTTCTCACTTGAGACTCTTTGTACTCGGGGATAAGGGCATGTGTTGTGCCGCCAAGCCGGGGTCAGTGCTGGCCTTTGTCCTCACCAGCACTGTGGCCTCTGCAAGCGTGCTAACCTCTCCCAGCCTCAGCTTCCTCATCACTGCAAGTTTAGCCCAGCTGCTAGAGTTGCAAGGACTCCGGGGGGTGGAGTGAACACTGCAGAATGGTGTTTTACAAACGTCCCTCGCAATGTCTCGTCCCAGGCTGGGTGGCCACTTGGTCCCCTTTACAACAGAGAGATGGTGGTGCTATGCCTTGCTTGGGGGTGGGTGTGTGCCCGTGCTGGTGGGAGTTAGCACTAACAGGTGGATGGCGGATTTCATTTTTCAAGACATTCTGTGTGCTTTGTCCTGTTTACTCACGGCGGCCCCGTGATTCCGGCAAGATGGTCATCCTTCCCTTTTACACGTGAGACAGCTGGAGCAGGGAGAGGCTGGCGAGGTAGCCAGAGTCCCACAGTAATTCTCTGACATGTTGGGATATCTAACTCCAAGGCCAGGGGGTACTTTTTCTGGGTTAGGGATAGACAGTGAGGAGGAAGGAAGGAACGGAAAAGGAGGAAGGGAGAGCTGGTTTAGAGAGAGCTGCGTCTTGCTTTTCTGAAGGTCAGCAGTGCAATGAAGAGGACAGACACAAAACTCATCCTTCAGGCAGAATTTCTCCGCGCCTCAATTCCAGGGGATGGTGTGGGGGAGAACTGAAAGTTCGCCTTCTCGATGATTTTTTAGGGTGACCTCTAAGATGAAGAATCATCGAAAAGGTTGGTGGAGGCCAGGATCGGGGAGAGCTGAGGGTGATGAGCGAAGGGCCGGCCTCCTGAGAGCTGGTCCCCTCGTTTGATTTAGGACTCTCGTCTCAGCACAGGGCTCCCAAGAGACTCATTTTCTCCATATGTCCCTCTCTCGCCTGCCTGCCTGTCTCCAGATGAATTACCATTTGCCAGGGGGTCCTAGAAATATCTTAGAATGGCGTTTGTCCCAGCCCCATGTGTCATCACTCAGAATAGAACTGACTTAAACCAGCATCCATCGGTAACAGATTCAGAGAAAGTCAACTATCTTTGGCAGCTCTAAAGTTCACCTCCCTCGAGAAGGGCCCTCTTGTAATATTTTAAAATATACAATAATATGAGAAAACTCTCAGGGACTTGAGTTTCTGTCTTAACATTTGAGATAGATTTCCCCCTTGGAAGGGAAGAAAGACGAATAAACATTTTCACAAGTCTGCTTCCAAGTGCAATTATCAACAAACCAAACACAATTCTGTTTGGGGAAAGCGTGGCCACGGACGTGGTGAGTATAGGACTCATCTGTGGTTCCTGTGAATGGCTGGGCTTTAAAAAAGGAAAGTTGATTGATTAGTATGAAATGTCATAGAAAAGTCCAAGTGCTAACCCCCTGAGGTGATAAAATACCGGGTTTTGGGTAACCCGCCAAGCTCCCATGTCAGGATTAATTGGCAGTCATATTAGTAACAAGCATGAAGCAGGCTGTGCTATTGTTGGCATCTTCCTTTCACTTGTACAAAGTGGTCACATGAAAAACAAAGAAACATTAATAATCCTACCAATTACTTCATCTTCTGTGCATTTGAGTGGTCTGGTAGTGGGAAAAAGCTCAGGGTATTTAAACCAAATGGACTGTACTTGTCACCTATTTAAAGTAAATATCTTTGGAGATGTAAGTCGTCGGTGTTGGAAAAATTTCCATTTTGCATTGTTGTACACTGCTTTGACTCTGGAGGCTTACAGTGAAGACCTCTTGGTGTGTTTATAGACCTCTCATCTCCACGGTCAAACAGGGTAACACAGACTGGGTTCAAGACCCCTGAGACTGTTCCACTGACTCTGCCCCTCTCCAGGGCAACATTCTCTGGACTCCCGCCCAGGTCTACAACTTGTGGCCTCCCAGCAAAGCCTCAGCTTGTTTCTTTCTCTTTCCAGAATAGCACCAAGCCTTGAGAAATGGCTGGGTGCTTGTAGGATGTAACCCAGTGTATACAGATTGGCAGGAGAGCTGGAAGGCAGACATAATCCCTTTAATGTTTAGGTATTCTGCATTTGAATATTGAAAATAATCTATATTTAGAAGCCCCCCACCCCACCTCACCTCCTGCATGACCTCCTCAGTCCCAAACAAGTCCTTGGTTCCAGACAGAGCCAGGCCAGACCAGAAATCATTTCAAAATTCTTCCTGGGGAGGGCAGGGCCAAACCCCAATAGTCCAGATGTGACAGGAAGGCCATTATCTAAACCTGCTAAATACCCAGGACTCCACTGGCTGTGACCAAGTGAAAATTTTAAGTGTTGAGTTTTAAAAGGAAAGCTGCCAATGGGTGTTCTGTAAATCATTTGTGCCAGCAGACTGACCCCATTATGTCAGCTAATCCTGGAAATACAGGAGGTAAATTTCAATCTTCTAGCATGGAGCACTTAATCAATATTCTAAATGTTTTTCTTGCAATTTATGCTAGCAGAGCAATGGGGTGCTTTGGCGGCCCGTTAATCTTCCACCA